ATCGAAATTGTAATTAATATGCCGTTCATTTCATTTTTCAATCCAATCATTTGGATTTTAGTACTATTTTTGTTTGCAATTCCTATTGGATTCTTAATGTCAACTATTTATGTATTCTTACAACCGTTTCAATCGTGTGGTCTCTTATCAAATACAATGCAATTTCTACTTGATTATTGTATTTCATTACCTCTCAAATGTGCCCAAAATGCTGTCAATAAAAAAGAGTTGATGTAAAAACTTTTCAAACGTTGAACAATTATAAATCACTTATACTAGTATATTAAAATATTTTATTCAATGCAATTTTATTTATCAACACTACTTTATTCATATATAGTCTAAATATATTGCAATATAACAAATAAACTTGTAAGTATTTGATACAATTAATTTTATTATTTATTTAATAATTAACGATTAAAGTAAATAAAACTATTTTCAGATTAAAATAAATTAATAATCAAATTTTAAATAATTTTAATTAATTATATTAAAATATCTTTACGTCAGTAACCCCATAATAGACAATAAAACTTTGTTTTAAAAAATCTGTAATCTTAATCAAAATCTATTGAGAAACACACAAAAAATTAATTATAATGTTCAATCTTTTTAATTTGTAACAATTTTAAGTAATATGTTTCAAGAATTTTATGTCAAAAAATCTTAAAATACTAAAATGAATTAAATTATTTAAAAATAATTATTAAATATTTTGTTTAAACTAAACAAAAATTATATTTTGTTATATATTTTAGTAATTTAATTCAATATTACTTTCACAAAATATCAATGTCACTTCATAAAATTGTTGGTTTTAAGAATTTAAATTGTTGAGAACTTGATGACAAAATTTGTTTAATTTGTTATTGACAGGATGTTATTGCCAATTTTCTTTAAAATATAATATACAATAATTTATTAATTTTACGCCAATATCACTTTTAAAGTCACTTTTAAAATTTGATAAAAATATATAAATCTTACGTATTGAAACTCTATCAATACACTCAATTATTTTATTAAATTTGTATTTAGCTAGATTTTGAGATTTAGAATAAATATGAGAATACCAATAATAACATTAAAACAGTACATAAAGTGAGTGTTAATTGAAAAAGATTTAAACATAATATAATATTTTAAATTAACTAAAAGTGAGTTAACGAAAGAACAGAAGTGTTGCTAATATTAGCCGTTTGTCCTCTAATCCAAAAATAGAGTCCAATACAACACGACAACAATTTTTATTTCTTATGCAAAACAATTTTCAAAACTTTTATCGTTTGAAAAGATTTGCATTTTTTTCATTGCAAACATTTCATAGAAATATGTGGCATCAAATCAGTTGATCTCTACAATTGTTTCACATGTCGTACATGTCTTTGTCTTCACTCAATACTTTCCCCTCTTTATACTCAATATTATTGTCAAGTCATCAGATTTTTTACTTTATTTTAGAGAGACTTAAAGTCTTAAAAGTTTTTAATTCATTGGTATTAACTCATTGTGGATAGAAATGTGGAAATTAGCGCCCGCTCTCTTAGAAGCGGCCGCAACCAGGTTTGTCACCATATCTGCCATCCCTTTACCATCCCTTCACTTATTTTTATCATCATTTGTATAGAAATCAAAGTCATGGCACAACTCCTGTGTTTTATGACAGTCGCCGCAATCCATATCAATTGCCACAATTTCATCAGTCAGTGCATCACAGTAGTGTACAGACATCACCCGGACAACTATCATCACCACTAACACAGTGTGTCTGGACATTCTTCTGGTTAGCCGTCATGTTGTTCATAGCCCTACCAATAGGTCTCATCTCATGCCAACTGTATGTCTTGCTGTCGCCGTTCAGTGCATTCATNTGTTTAAATCTTTTTCAATTAACACTCACTTTATGTACTGTTTTAATGTTATTATTGGTATTCTCATATTTATTCTAAATCTCAAAATCTAGCTAAATACAAATTTAATAAAATAATTGAGTGTATTGATAGAGTTTCAATACGTAAGATTTATATATTTTTATCAAATTTTAAAAGTGACTTTAAAAGTGATATTGGCGTAAAATTAATAAATTATTGTATATTATATTTTAAAGAAAATTGGCAATAACATCCTGTCAATAACAAATTAAACAAATTTTGTCATCAAGTTCTCAACAATTTAAATTCTTAAAACCAACAATTTTATGAAGTGACATTGATATTTTGTGAAAGTAATATTGAATTAAATTACTAAAATATATAACAAAATATAATTTTTGTTTAGTTTAAACAAAATATTTAATAATTATTTTTAAATAATTTAATTCATTTTAGTATTTTAAGATTTTTTGACATAAAATTCTTGAAACATATTACTTAAAATTGTTACAAATTAAAAAGATTGAACATTATAATTAATTTTTTGTGTGTTTCTCAATAGATTTTGATTAAGATTACAGATTTTTTAAAACAAAGTTTTATTGTCTATTATGGGGTTACTGACGTAAAGATATTTTAATATAATTAATTAAAATTATTTAAAATTTGATTATTAATTTATTTTAATCTGAAAATAGTTTTATTTACTTTAATCGTTAATTATTAAATAAATAATAAAATTAATTGTATCAAATACTTACAAGTTTATTTGTTATATTGCAATATATTTAGACTATATATGAATAAAGTAGTGTTGATAAATAAAATTGCATTGAATAAAATATTTTAATATACTAGTATAAGTGATTTATAATTGTTGAAAATTTGAAAAGTTTTTACATCAACTCTTTCTTATTGACAGCATTTTGGGCACATTTGAGAGGTAATGAAATACAATAATCAAGTAGAAATTGCATTGTATTTGATAAGAGACCACACGATTGAAACGGTTGTAAGAATACATAAATAGTTGACATTAAGAATCCAATAGGAATTGCAAACAAAAATAGTACTAAAATCCAAATGATTGGATTGAAAAATGAAATGAACGGCATATTAATTACAATTTCGATCAATTAAAACAATATTTTTCACAATAGATATCGTGTAATATTTTGTCAAATATTTTGAATAATTCAAACTCAGTTCTTACTGTAAAACAAATTTTTAAAAGAGTATTTTCACACAAAAATTAGTGCAAAACAGTTGCTATTTGGCACACGTTTAGGAATGCGCTCAACATTTGAGAATAAATAATTAATTTATAGTAATTCATATTATGTTTGAATTAAGTTTCAAAACTCTTAATTATCCCGCGTATTTATTTAAAGCTCATCATATTAATATAATAGTGTTAATTATTGTTAAAAATATATTTATTGCATTTGTTTTGATCTACAAAGAGATGTTGAATCAAACAAAAAAGACAAAACTTTAGTTAAAAAGTATTTGTAAAGTGAATTACATATAAGTAAATATGAGCAATTAAATTTTTACAATTGAAAATTAAATATTTTAAATACTAATAATAAGGTATCCATTTTTACTGAAGATATCTTAAATTTTATTATTTTTAAAATTGGTTTTTCTTGTGAACAGCCTTACGTGGAGTGGGAGTGGGTGACAATGATCTCTTAGTACTCAATTCATTTACATGTTTCTTATAGTGATTTTTCTTATATATTCTAGCAATATATATTCTATTCTATATATTCTAGTCATATAGCAAATATATGACCCAAATATATGCGGCTATTTCTCGAGGAAATGATTTGTTTCTATGACTTCTGTCCAGCTTTTCAACGGCTGAAACCGCCGAAGTCGGTCGGATTAGTATTTGTTTGAGATTTTCGCACTAATTATTTAACAGAATATACATCAAGGTAAAGAATATTTTCGTTGTGAACATAATTCTTACTCCATTAAAGAATTCATATGATTTTGAGATACAATATGTAATGGTGTGGTTGTCCTCCGCGTAGATCAAAATAAAATTGAAGTTAAGAATTGGTCCAAATATGGCTATTAATTGGCTCGGAGTCTGGATGTCGTTCAATAAACTTGTTTTGGATGTGATGTTGAGTTGAAGCCTGAGATACTCTTCATAACTTTGTGTCACCTCTTTGGGGTTTTGGATG